AGAAATTTGGAAGAAGAGAAAGAATCAGGGCTGCTGGAGCCCTGGGAACTGAGCGAAGGGTGATATTTTGAGACCACTTCCTGACCATGGGGTAGTCTTGCCTATCGTAGGGTTACCTTTCCAGAAGGAGCAAGGTATAGATTGGCAACAGCCCTTAGTGTTTCCTTGGGCATGAGTCAGCTTCCTTCCCACCTGCCAGACAGGATCCAGGAGCATGGTGAAGCCCGGCACTCTTTCTTCATTCCCAGGTCTGGGAGTTGGCTGCAACCCAGGATGGAGACAACGTCAGGACTGAATTTAGCACTAGCTGCCAAGGCCTTTGTGAATTTAATTTTAGAGGCATCGCTCTGTAGAGATGATGCCAAAATGTAGCTGATGAGCACCAGGAAGAAATGAGATTAGAGATGGGTGAAACCAGATGGAATGGACGTGGACAGGGTGGGGTTCTAATAGCATTTCATTTAGACCTTGTTTGTTCGGGCCATCTGGCTCCAAACAAGTGGAAAAATGGATCTAGTACACAAGTAGTTCTGCTAAACCTTGACCCAAGTTCTGGATTACCCTCATGGGGAGATACCAAGTCCATTATTCACAGAGCTATGGGCACACCCACTGAGCCATGAAGTGGAGCGCTGTGTCCAACTTCATGGTCACAGTCCCCATGATGTCCTTCCTCCAATAAGACCACACCTCCTCCACACCTCCTCCTAAGCCTCCCAGAACAGCACCACCACCTGGGGACTGAGTATTCCAGTGCCTGAAGCTGTAGGGCACTTCTCACTTAAACTGTTAATTGTGTTACCTTTCCCATCTTCAGAGGTGAGGAGGAGACCTGGAGCCTCTGAGGCTTCTGATGCCCAAAATGTACACTGGGAGGCCTGGGATGCAGAATACATGGAGATCCATAGTTCAAACACACATGCACCATGATGATCTGGTCCAGGTTGGTCTCAATAATATCCCATTTTAGCCTGGCACAGACCTGCCTGTGGGATGTGGGTGACCAAGTCTGCCTCCTGGAGCAAGCATAGACCAGGCAATGACTCTTCTCCAAGTTTCCCCAGCTTTGTAGACTTGAGGCATGTCACACATTGGAGCTTGTGTTGAGCCCTAAGCTGAGTAGCAGATTGAACAAGTCTAAAGGAGACTCCTTCATGCTGCTATGACCTCTAGGCATGTAGCAATATAGCAACAACTCTAGAATGTTCCTTAGGTCTGAATTCAAGCTTTTTTGCGGTGGAAGGGTCTCACTATGAACTCCAGACTGTCTAGAAACTCACCCTTTAGCCTAGGCTGGTGTCAGGTTCACAGAGATAGACCTGCCTATGCCTCCCTAAGTGCTGGGATTAAAGGTATGCACCACCACACCCTGCTATCAAAGGTGATTCCCAGGGTGGGTCATGGCATTGCTCAGAGGGGCATTTGCCCCTTAACTACCCTTGAAGGAACACCTAGATCTCAGCTGATAGTAACCCACTTTTGCAAAGAGACACATTTAAGAAAGAGAAGCCTGGGAAATGTGTGTGTACATGTGTGTGTGTGCGCGCGCGCGCATGCCCGCGCGCGCTCACACACACACACACACACACACACACATGATACACCTCTCCTTCTCTATAGCTCTCCCTTTTCTCTTAATGACAACTGTAAAAAACTAGAAAAACATAAAAACATTTAGAAGTCACAGCCCAGGTGACATCACAGGATGCAGACCCTCAGAATCTGCAAGGACTCCTTAAACACACATGCACTGGGGACAGCATCTCTGTGTAGGCACTTTTCATAGTGTCTTTTCCTGAGACACAGTTCAAAGAAAGCACAAGGCTCGGTTTTCTTTGTGTGATGTGGACACCCGCTCTCCCCTCCCACATCTCCCAGAGGGCTGTGATTGTTTTGTTTAAGATTAGTTTTATTTGTGTGTCGAAGGGCGATTGCCCAGAGGAGAACATCAGATCCCCTGGAGCCGGGGCTACAGCTGTTGTGAGCCTCCTGATATGGGTGCTGGGAACTGAGTCTGGAAAAACAGCAAGTGCTCTTAATTGCTGAGCCAGCTCTCCAGCCACTGCAAGAGACTGTTTGAAATCCTACGTGTGTTTTTGGTGCCTAGGAGTCTGTTGGCTGAGGGGGCCTGGGTTTACTTCTGGGTCCCCTATTCTGTTCCACGTGACTCTGTGTTTATGCCAATGCCATAGTGGCTTTGTCCCCATGTCTTTAAGTCAGGTGCTGGGGTACCTCCAACTCTGTTGCATTTGGAAACTGAAACTAGGTTCCCATCACTCAGCCTGTACAAAAACCAACTCCAAGTGGATTAAAGATCTCACTGCAAGACCTGGATCCCTGCAATTGCTAGAGGGACTGTGAGAGAAATTGTTACAAATGTTGATTTCCTGCACAGAAATCCCATAGTTCAGGAAACAAAGCCAAGAATTAACAGAAGGGGGTGTGTCACCATGAAGAGTATAGGCAGGGGCTGTAGAGATGGCTCTAGGGTTAAGAGTCCTGGCTGCTCTTCCAGAGGACCTGGATTCAGTTCCCATAATACACATGGAGGCTCATAGCCACCTGTAATTTCATCACCCTGTTCTAGCTTCCCGTTTCAGTACAGGCACTGCATGTACATGGTGCACATAAATACATGAGGTACCCACACACATAAAATAAAGTTAATTCTAAAAAAAATCTTAGAGCAAAAGCAGCAGCCTGTGAAGGGTCTACAGGTTTGGAGGGAGCTTCAGCCCTTCACCTGAAGACGATGACTATCTGGAATATAGAAAGCGCTCAGAAAATATAGCAAAGCATGTAATCCCTTGAAAATGGGCAATGGCCTGAAGAGGGTGTTCCCAAAGACCCACAAACAGCGAGCAAGTACAGGGAGAAATACTCCCCAGCCCCAGCTAGAAAGGAATCACAGACCAAAACCACATGGGGAGTCCACCTCACCCTTGTCAGAATGACTGTGGAGAAACAGCTGCTCACACTGGTGAGGATGTGGGGGGAGAGAAGCCTTAAACTGCTGCGGGGTGTTCATTGGTGCACCTACTGTGAGACTCATTATGGAAGCTTCCCAGAAAACCAAAAATAATACCATATGGTCCAGCCAGAATACTTCTGAAGATGTACACATGCCATAAATACACCTGCACACCATGGTTATTGTTGCACTGTTCACAAAAACCATGCTATGGAATTAGCTCAGTTCAGGACAAACAGAGGAAATGTGGGATAGAGACAATGGGTACTATTCAGTGGGCAGAGCCTGCCTCCCTGGGAGTCAGTGTTAGAGGAAACAATCCTGGCTCCCCCTCTAGGGGCCTGCACAGCATGGATCCTCAAAGAGCAACTGTGTGGCAACTCAGGCATTCTGCCCAGTGAAGGGGTCTTGTTTGTGCTGGGGGAAGGTGGACAGTGGAATCACACTGGCTCCTCCTGAGCATCAGTTACCAGCAGAAGGCTCAGCGTCTCCACAACACCACAACCGCTGGCCCAGGCTCTCAGGAGTCCAGCTCCATCTGCTCCCAGAGCTCAGCTGCCTTATTGCCTGCCTTTCTGTTGCTTAGTAACAAGATCACCTAATTATTCTACTAAGAGGTCAAAGAAATGCCAGCAACCCATTGCCTAGACCAGGAAGTCAAATGGCAAAGCCTTTAATTTGCATAAAGAAGGTTCTTTTCAGTTAGAGGTGGAAGTGGGGGGGGGGGGGGTCCGAAGTTCAGCCTGCCTTTGCTAATATCACATTTAGAGGGCCTGGCCGTGCAGCCAAGGGCAGCAGCAGCCAGTTGAAGAAGCTGCCATAGAGTTCTGCTATTTTAATTCCTAGACTTGTTCACAGATGAGAAGTAGTATGTGATCAAGAAAGGGGAACCTTCTTTTCCTGTTAGATAATGACTTGTTCCTGCTCAGGCTTCCTAAGGCCCTAGGGACTTTAGTTTTCTGATTTGGAGGCGGGAGGCTTGGATTGGGAGCATCACATCTTGGGGGCAGGAGGGATGTTTGCGTTTTTCTTAGCTAACTCGGTTTTTATCTGTCTGGGGCCACAGTTGCTGGGTTTTATTTTCTGAACATCCCACCTCTTAGTGTTTTGGTATTGAGTACCTTATTGTGTCTGTAAGGGGCCTTCCAAGTGACAATGTCCCCAAGTGCTAGCTCAGAACTCTGAGCTGAGCAGGCTGGGAGGGAAGGGAGAATTATCGCTTTTTGATTGGCATTCATGGGAAAATAACTTGATGTTACTGAAAGGCTGTCTAGCTCCGGGGCTGGCTATGTGAAACCAGCTTTTGTCTTCCAAGCTGCCTGGTCTCCCCAGTCCTAGGTTTTCCCTCGGCCCTGAGCAGATCTGCAAGGGTTGGTCCTCTGCTGCCCTCTGCTGGCCCTGAGGGGTGATGATCTCTGAACATTTTCCAGTTGAATCTTCTGTTTATTTCAAACTTTAAAGACACTTCACCCAAGCTTGGGGTTTTTTGAGGGTTAACTGTGACTCTAAAATGCACCCACTGAGTGACAGGGTGCAGGATATAATTCACTGTAAAAATGAAATATCTCACACACACATAGAGGATAAAGACAGCACACCACAATTGTTTTTGATAGCACTGAACTATGTGGCTAGGTACTTATGATCCAGGTCCATTAACACTGAGAAATTCTGGTTAATGACAGCAAGTGACATAAGGACCCTTGAGTTCCCTCAAACCTCCTGGAACACTTCTCTGCAGACCTAGACTCCTGAGAGGTCACCTCGATACCGGGGGGGGGGGGGGGGTGCTGAGGCAGGAAGGAGGATCAGGGCCTTTGAGAACTGAGAGGACCTCAGTCACAGGCCAAGACTGTAGCCCTCTGGTCATCTCACCTGTCTCCCCATTGTTCCCAGAATGAAGAGGCATTTGAGGGCCAATCCTATTTATTATTATTCTATTATTTATTGTAAAGGTTCAAAAAGGAAATGAGGATATTGAGGAAAAAGACAGAGGCCTCTGTTGCATCACCAACCAGGCTCCTGGGTCTCAGTGGGAAGTCCATTCCAGGATGCATCTTGATCCATGCAGGTAGTGGTCTGTGCATCCCACAGCTACGTGGGAAGTCCATTATGGGGTATTCCATGTTCTTGCTCTGCATAAACCTTTAATGTGTATGTATGTACTAAATTACCAAACCATCTCTTTATGTCTTCACTGAAGCCTGTATTATAAATCCTAAATTTAAGCTTTTTCTCCATGTGTGGCATAATTTGCTCTTTTAAGAAAAAAAAAAAAAAAGGTTGTCTTAAAAGAAAAATCCAAGCAGAAAGGCATGGGGGACATGAGAACTTTAGCAAGGTGATGTGGCAAATTCATGTCTCCTGTGAGAACCTGAGTCTGTCCTTCGTCAGCTCCCTCACCATCAAGAGAAAGGATGTGACAGTGGGAGCTGGACAGTATGGAACAGGCTCAGCCAAAGTGGATGCAGCCTAGCCCCCAGGTCCCCAGCATCCTGCAGAGAGAGCAGAGACACCCATGTCAGCACTGGAACCTGTCCAGTTTTTTGCTAAGCCAGACTCCACCTCAAACATGTGATGAGCCCATACATTCCCCTTGCATCCCTCACCCCCAGGAAAGCCACTGCTTCTGATGCCCAAGGTCACATCTGTGCACTGAGGGTGAGTGGTCAGCGCAGAATTTCCTGAGAAGCAACTTAAGGGATGGCTAACAGTCTGGGGTGAGTCCACCATGGCAGAGAAGGCTTGGTGGTGGGAACAGCTCTGGCTGTGGCATCAGGAAGCAGCTCGCTCACATCATGGTGGGTCAGGAAGCAGGGAACAAACAGGAAGTGGGATCTGAAATGAAACTTCCAGTCCCTGCCCCACCTCCTCCCTCAAGGCTCCACACCCTCTAGCTGAGGACTAAGCATTCAACACATGAACCTGTGGGACAGTACACACAAGCCATGGCAGCAGGGTCACCTGCAGAAATGTATCTTCTGTATGCTTCCACTCAGGAGGTGTGGATGATTTCTCAGATTCTGTAAGGAAATGATGTGTCATGAATTCTAACTGGTCTTAATAGTAAAAATCCAGAGTCAGATAGGGAGAGTGAAAGCTGAAAGATCAGAGAAGCAAAACAGCCAGCCACTAGAAAGACTTCTTACTTCTTCCAAATCCTCAGACATAAAAGGGCTGAGCTCCTGTCTCCACCCTGCCTTATCACTTCCTCTCTCCACACACCCATATCACTTCCTGTCTCCACCTCCCTAGTGCTGGGATTGAAGGTGTATGCAACCACTGCCTGGTTCTATGGTTAACTAGAGGCTAGCTCTGTACTCTGATCTCCAGGCAAGCTTTATTTGTTAGAACACAAACAAAATATCACCACAGAACATCTTTGAGGATGCACCAGACATGGGCACAAGCTCTACTGACCCCCTATTATTGTTCAAGACTGAGGAACTAGGCCTGCAGACCAGGCCCTCACTTCAGTCTGCATGGTAGTCCTGCCAACAGCCTTACCCAGGGCCCATCACAGCCCTGGGAGATCAGTCACATGCCACCTCAGAGAGGGCGGAAGGCATGGCTGTAAAGCCATGATCATACTTTTTAGTAGTCTTTTAACTCACTTCAAATATCGGTGTGCATAATTACTTACAAATACCTTTCTTTTAAAAGATTAAAAGTTTCCACTCTTCCGCTGTGTTACTAACTTTTCTGTTGCTATGATAACAAACAAAAAACAAACAAAAAACCCTGATAAAAGCTCACAGTTCTGGGGGGGGAGGCAGAGTTCATCATAGCAGGGAAGGTAGGGAGGAGAGAAAGAAGAGAGACAGACAGACAGACAGAGACAGAGAGACATGGAGAGAGAACAGGAAGTAAGATAAGACTATAAACCCCCAAAACCCACCCCCAGTGACAGATTTCCTCCATCAAGTCTCCACCTTCTAAAAGGTCTACAACGCCCTCAACAGTACCAACAATTGGGGACCAGGTGTTTTCATACCTGAGCCTGTGGGGAACATTTCCACCATGACAAATCTATTTTGATTTTGCATTTAGAGCTGCCATTCATTCAACAAACCTCAGTGCGATTTCTATCTAGCCCTGGCTGTTTGGAAGAGTAGACAGACAGGACCTCTGACATTGTGGGGACAAGACAGAAACAGAGGAGAGAGAGAGAGAGAGAGAGAGAGAGAGAGAGAGAGAGAGAGAGAGAGAGCTAGCAAGAAATGAAAGTGGGTAGTAGCTGGGGCTCTAGACCCAAAGTGGGAAACAAGAATCACAGTAATATGGGCCAAGACACAGCCTACATGCTTATGTCCTATACTGGACCCACAGCAGTAGCAGCATTTATAATGGAAAGCATATTACCATGGCAGCCACTACAACAGCAAGATGCAATTTTGTTTAATTTTCTGAGTAATGAATCAAACACTAGTGAATCCTCCAATTTCCATACTAAAGAATAAAAAGCTTTAGTCCCCCAATGTAGAACACTTAAAGCATAAAACTGAGTGTTTTGAGTCAAGTTAAAGTGCCATTTTTATTGAAATATTACCAAGATAGCCATTTTACCCAGTCAGATGATGGTGTTCCATATTGATATTTGATTTGTCAACACCGATTTAATAGTGACTATAAAGGAAGATTCCACAGGTGCCCAGTCACACAGAACCCCGTCTCTGCCTCCCTTTGGCCTGGAATGTTCCATTCACTTCTGTCATAAAGCATAGCCGAGAACCCATCAGGAAATGTTTGTTGTAACTGCAGTGATCCAATTAGAAATGTTCCGGCAATCTCTGAGACAAGTGTGAAGAGGCTGAGAAAGTTTGAAGAAAGCAGAAAAATGTAGAAGCCATCTGGAAGTCTTAAATAGACGGTGGTAATTATTCAGCTGTTTAGAAACAAGTCCTAAACAAGAAGCCTGAAGCTGGTCTCTCATTTTCTGCTAAAATAATTGCCTGTTTGCTAGTCTTACAGTTGGGGTTTTGTGGTATCACTAACCGCCCACATCCCTTCTCCTGTGGACGGATTCCATATGTCAAGTCCTAGGGGCCACACGGCACCTCAGGCCCCCGTGCCAAGCAGGCAGTTCCCCGGCTCTGAGCCCCGGTGCCTGTCTGCAATGAGCTTCTGGCTGTACCAACTTGTGCGAAACCTGCAGGTCGAGTCCCGCTCCTGCCTCCAGCCCCGCAGAGTCCCGCACACTGCCCTGCTTCCAGCATGAAGAAGGTGAAGAGGCTCTGCTCGCATAAGGATGTGATCAGAACGCAAGTTGGTTTCTCTTCTAGCACCTTCCCCAATAGGAGTCTAGGTCAGCCCTGCTCAACACCAGCCAGTGAATACCGAGTGGGTGAGAATGTCTCACGCTCTTGGGCTCCTGTGACCAAGCCTTGCTGTGAGTCCAGTGGTCTCAGAATTGGGTTTCAGGGGCAGGGAAGGGCTCAGAAGGTATAGCTTTTCTCTTGAAAGCATGACAACCTGAGTTTGCACCCCAAAACGTACATTTTTAGAAAACCAGGAACGGACTTGTAATCCTAATACTGGAGGGTGGAGAACAGGGATCCCTAGGCCTCACTGGCCAGCCAGCCTCACATTATTGATGAGCAGGAGAATCTCTGAGTTCAAGGCCAGCCTGGTCTACAGAGAGTGTTCCAGGACAGCCAGGGCTCTCTATCTTAAAAAAAAAAAAAAAAAAAAAAAAAAAAAAAAAAAAAAAAAAAAAAAAGGAGTGACCCAAGATTGTCCTTTGACTTTCACACAGAGACATATATGAACACACAGAGACATGCATGCATGAATACACACATGCACACATGAAAAATGTAGTTTGGCCACTCCACGTAAGTCTCTAAAGTCCACACAAAGCTCTTGGCAGGGTCCCACCATCCATACCCAAGCTCCCATGCCAGGAAACCCTGAACTCCCCTGTGCTAGCCACAGCACCCCAATACTGGCATCCCCCATCACCTGAGTACCAAGGTGCTTCAGCCCTGCTCTGCCCCCAAACTTTCTGTCTTAGCGTCAAGCTCAGTCTACCATGGTGGTTCAAACCCAGTAGGACAGGTTTTCTCATTTGCAATAATCCCTCAGATGTTCTTAGACCCCCAGAGGACACCAGGAGACACGGACTTGCACCAAATTCTATATAGATGAGGCGTTCCCTATTTATGAATAATCTGTGATAACATTTAATTCATGAGTTGGACATGTAAGAAATGAACAATAATTACTAATAGAGCAGATACTATAATAGTACTGTCCCAACGGTTTGTAATATCAATAAGGCACATGTCACTCAAACACAAGCTCTGTGATGCTGTAATAGTGACTCAGGCAAGGAAAGTTACCTATTCACAGGGAGAGAACATGGCCTGCATAGCTATGCTGGTCAGGGGACAATTCACAGACACCCTCTGTCCTTCCCCAGCCTGTATTCTGGTCTTTATCTCCCACCAAGAAGCTGTACTTTGTGGAAAAGCCAAAGGAAGGTTGTAAAGCACCAGGCCACAGATAGCTAAGCTGTGAGTTCTCCTAACACTAGTGTGCTACCGAGTCTACTGTGACACAGTGACAGGCCAGAGGTGACACAACAGTAGCCAGTGATGGCCTCGGTCCTGGACCTCTCCTGTGTCCTCACGGGCCATCTCTCTCTGCCCATCTCTTCTCAGTACCGAGTCAGGTTGGATCAAAGCCCTACCCATAAGGCCATGTGCTAACTTCTTTAGAGACTCTACTTCCATATAGTCTGATTCTATGGTACTGAGAATCAGGACTTTGACATTTAGGAGACCAGGGAGAAGAAGGACACCTGAGCCCATAAGAAGAATGACAAAGTCCATAAAGACCACACACACACACACACACACACACACACACACACACACACACACATGCATATGGGCATGTGTGTACACACACACACACACACACACACAGAGGCATGCATATGGGCATGTGTGTACAAACACACACATACACACACAGAGAGAGGCATGCATATGGGCATGTACACACACACACACACACACACACACACACACACACGCACACACACGCACAAACACTTTCAGGAGAAGGATAGCCTGCTGGTCTCAGTTCACAGACCCTGCAGCTGAGCTCTCCTTCCTCTGTCACAGAAGTCCCTGTAGAATAGCCAAGGCAATCTTCAGGAGAACATGGGTGAGCAGCACCCCACCTGGGGAAGTGTGCTATTTTAATAAGTGAATCCAGGGCTCCAGAGCTCCCTGAGAGGCATATTGAGCTAGAAACAGGTGGCACTCATGCCTTAAGTCATAGCACAGGGTGCTGTTAATTTATTTTAACTGATTGTTTCTTAAAGTTTTTGAGGAGCTCCATCTGAGAACAAGACACTGGAAGTTAAGCCAGCAAAGCAAGCCAACCCAACTGAGAAGAATGCCTATCAAGGACATTTGCGAGGGACTCTACAGAAAGCCCCTCAGAAAGACACACCCAAGTTAAGTTTCATTACAACAAAAACTTGTGCTTTTAAAAAATAGTCTAGTAGTGACTATATGACGCCATAATGAAAATTTAAAAATTATTAACAGTAATGATCTAAATAGAGATTTATATGATGCTTCTGGTTTAAATTAGCACAACACTGGACAATACACAAGGTATAACAATTAGTTAACTTCTTTAATTAGCCCTAAATTAATCTGCGTGTTTAGCGCCATCTCACTATTCAACATGATGATTCTAAACTCTAGGAAGCATTAACAAGTAGACTTAGGAAATGAAAATGTCAAGGTGAGAACCAGGTGGACATAACTGGAGCAAATGAATCTGATGAAAGTCACACATGTCTGGCACAGAGTTGGACAAGCAGACCAACAGAGACCAGAAGGAACCAGACACGAGCCTCATGGCCCTCATGTGTGACATGGACCATAGAGATGGGAATTCGGCACACTATGGGGAAAGTTTCCTTCACAGCAGTTAGACATGCACATATCCCGATGCCAGACAGTTCAATGTTGAAAGCCATTGCAAAGATGTAGGGAGACGTCTTTACCACCTGAAGTTGGCACCAGACTCTTTGAACAAGGTCCAAAGCAGATGAAGAACATGTCATTTCTGGATAAATCAATTTAACAAAAGGAAGTGAATGCTTATGGTTTGTGACAAGCACCGAAATACCACCAGAGGTAGAGGAGGCTGATATCTGCTCTGTCCAAATTCCCAGAATTTTATTACCTAGAATCTTAGAAGCCACCCACAAAAGGAACCTCCACACTGAAATCCTACAGAGAAAAACAAGGTGCATGGGAAACTAGATATGGGAATATAAAAAGGAGGGGAATCACAAGCGATCAAAAAAGACACGAGTGACACCAAATCGGCCCTCTCGAGGCACTGAAACTGGGCAGGTTATAAAGAGCAGCGTTCTGGCTTCCTTTTCTGTTGCTGTGACAAACTCTATTAACAAAGTGTGTCTTAAGAGAAGAAAGCATTCTTTTGGCAGACATTTCCAGGTCACAGTCCATCTCTGAGGGAAGATGAGGCAGGAAATTGAGGCAGAAATCACAGAGGAACACTGCCTTCTAGCTTTCTCTATGGCTCATTCTCAGACTGCTTTCTTATACAGCCCAGGCCCATCTGCCTAGGGATGGTACTGCTCACAATGGCTGGGATCTCCCACAATCATCAATCAAGACACTCTCTCACAGACATGGCCCCTCTGATGGAGGCAATTCTTCAGTTGAGGTTCCCCAGGTGACTGGGTTGCATCAAGTTGACAATAAGCCTGGATAGCACAAGGGAGCACTGGATTCTCATAGTTCTGCAGGCTGATGTCCAAAGTCAAGGTTCTGGCAGGTTCCACATCTAGGAAGGGCATGGCTACCTCTTCCACTGTGTGCTATTTGTTCCCTGGGAAGGGACAGATATTGTGGGCAGGCCCACACAGCAGAAGGAATGGAAGGAGACTGATTCTCCCCTCCAACACCTTTATAAGACACTAGTCCCTTGTGAGGCTGCAGCCCTCATGACCCAACCACCACCTGAAAGCCCCACTTTATTTACTGTGGATATGAGAATTAAGCACCAACATGAACTTTGGAGGTAGACAAATCTTCAAATCACATCAAACCATCTTTAAGGAACACTTTATAGGGGAGCTGAACAGATGGCTGAGCAGTAAGAGCACAGGAGTTCTTGTAGAAGACATGGGTTCAGTTTCCAGTACCTATATGACAGCTAACAACTGTCTGTATAGCCAGTTCTAGGAGATCTGACTCCTTCTGGCCTCTGCCAGGTATGCATGTGGTACACAGACATATGTGCAAGAAAACACTCAAACACATAAAAAAATAAAATGAAAAAATAGAACACTTTTATAGGCATGGCTAATATGATCAAGAGCTGGAAAAATACATGCTGACAAGATGGGTTCATTGGGTAAAGGCACTTGCTGCCAAGTCTGACCACCTGAGTTTGATCCCTGGGTCCTATGTTGTGTAAGGAGAGAACCACGTCTCAGAAGTTGTTCTCTACACCCCTCATGCACATATGCACCCAATCACACATGCACAGAGAGATGACTGAAGATTGATGGATGGATAGATACAGATGATAGATAGATGATAAATAAATAGAATGTAACTTAAAATCAGAATGAATATTCTGAAAGAGTTGGACACTATGCCACAGATAGAAACCCATCCTACACTGCTTGCTCAGTGAGGTACAT